GTCTGCATTTTCAAAGGTGTGGTATCAATGCTGTAAACCGTAGTTCGACCCATTGTACTACAAAACTGGGAAGGGGAATAAAACGGTCGAGTCAAAGTGAAGTGTGTCGCAAATCTGAAATTGATATTATTTTAACTTGGGATGCGGAGTTGGCGCAGTGAGGAGACCGCTGGACGCTTCCCCGACACACAGACCGTGGCCTGGCCCAACGCCATACGTGGATTTAGTCTGTGGTCGGTTTTCGTCTTCGTTCTTCTTTCCGTGGTTTTCGGTTTTCCTCCCTCCACGACAACTACTGAATATTTCTAAATGCTAATTTGACCGGGAATCCAAAGGCCAAAAGTTTTCTAGTCGAAAGACGGTTATGTGCTGGCTACCCTTCTTAAACCTCCTTATATTTATTCTATGATATTTAACAAACCACATAAGCGATGTAGAAAACTTACTGTGCCCGCTGTTTCCGCAATAACGGAACGAACAGCCTGGTGTCCTTCCCAAATGATACACGTAAAATGCTCCACAATTACGAACATGGATGTAAATACTCCATCTGCAAACGTTTCCGCTCCAGTGAAAGCAGACCTTTCGCGAAACAGATCCATCCTCCTTCGTGGGATGCTGACCATTCAGCCAGCCTGTTGCGTGCGTTCCACAGTAGTTCTCCTGTACCGGTGAAGTCGGCATTCTCGTTCCAGCGGCGTCCGTGAAGCGGTACCACTTGGTGACGGACGGAAAGTCCCTACTGTCACATTTAGGGCTCAGGTGGCCCCTTTTGGAGCCCGCAGCACGGTCAGCGGAGCTTAGCTTGGTGTAGCTTGAGCACTCTTTGGGATCTAAAACAGCGAAAGGTTATTTTTAGTAGAATTACATGATGGAGGGATTAAAGGAGACGGACTATTAAGGCACTCTGGGAACCGCGGTGACCTGATGGTTTATTCTAATGGCTTTAACACTCTTTTTCAATTTCAGCAGCTTTAAGCCATTTTTCAGAGGTTGCCATTTGATTTCAAATGCAGATCGTAGCAAATTGCTAGCTCCTATAATCGATTTAGTATATCTATTTCCAGAATGTGTGTCGCGCAAAATCTAGCCTACGCGTGTAGCTCAAAAAGTACAGCTGTCCTGCCAGTAATTTTAAAAAATGCATATCGGTTTATTTTTTAGGTGAACTACGTATTTTGAGCGTGAGGTATTTGTCTTGTCCCCTGATTGGTCATTTAAAAGATCGTTTGCTATTGCAGGTTTGGCACTCTTGCATGCTTTGGAAGGTTTGCAAAACTCTCTTCTTCTAATCATCCTTACGCTTTACATAAGTAATTTACGTTTAACTTTTCTATCCGAAAACCTCCCGGCTTTACACAAAAACCTCGAAATGACACTTTAAAAATTAAAAACGCAATCAATAACATATCTGAAGGTTTCCTTGTTACAGTTGCAGATGTTTATTTATGTGACATTTTCTAACCTTCATCACAGTGTTTTCCTGTGAACCAATTACCCACACACGTGCATTTGTAACTTCCTTCAGTATTTTCACATTTGGCGCCATTCATACAAGGTTTGTTCACCACACACTCGTCCACATCTATGAACAAAGTAAATGAAGAGACGGATGAAAATAGTTTCTAACTAATAAATATGGCTTTTACTTACAGTTAAATTAAAAAGCAACCAAGTCTTTGGAGATCGGCGATTGCCCATTTTGAGTCGTGGCGAACAACCAGATTTTAACTATGACTCAGATATTATAGATAAATAAATATGAAATTTATGAAGCCAGGTAGGTAGATTAGGGGAGGTAGAACGGTAGGTCGGTCGGTCGTTCGTTCGGTCCGTCCGTCGGTCGCTCGGTAGGTAAGTAGGTAACTAGGCAGGTAGGCAGGCAGACAGGCAATGGGTAGCCATCACGTAGGCATTCAGGGTGGAAGCCAACTGACTACGGCATTTGACAGTTCTTGTTTGGTTCTTATTTTCATTCCTTCATATTTCACGAATTCCATTCTTCATGTTTTGTTTTGCGCATATTCAATTTGATCAAGTTCGCTAATGGTAGCTGAAATATTGCGCGCTAAGCCTACCGTTCGTTGGTCGAGATGATACCCCCTAAATTTTGCTTAAAAGTTTCCAGTATCACTTACCTTCATTGCAGTTCTTTCCTTTATAATTAGCAGGACATTTGCAGTTATAGCCACCGACAGTATTAACACAGGTGCCTCCGTTCTTGCACGGCTTGTGTACAGTACACTCGTTCACATCTAAATTTAATGGTAACACAAAACAAAACCATAGACAGAATTAGCGGCGGCCGTGTGCTATCGCATTTAAAAACGACGAAAGAGATGATAATGAATTAATCTGGTTAAAGACGGACACGAATTCTGTATATGGCTTATCGACAAGCGTATAGAAGTTTAGAATCACTGTTTTCAGCAATTTAAACGCAGTCCAAAGAAGTGCTTTTAGTAGCGTTTGGTGCACAGAGTTTTATTAAGAAGCATACATTAGTGACTTCTTACTCAGTCCATAAAAACTTTGTCTGCACACTCCTCGACTTTTATTAACTCTTGACTATAACTTCGTCTGTTTGGAAAGGCCGATTAAAATTGCTCAATGGATCAGTGTCTCGATCAGTTTGACAAAGATCACTTCAAATAATAATACAAACAAATTTTCTTGCCTGGGCATGCATATAAGCACTTGCCCAATTGATCAAGTTTCTTCATACCTGTTTCACAGTTTCTTCCAGTATATTTCGCATCACACGTACACTTGTAGCTTCCTGGGATGTTGGAACACGTTCCTCCATTCTTACATGGACTGCTGACGGCACATTCATCGATATCTAGTGAACAGTGTACAGAATTGTACATCGTTTATCTTTCATGAATTCACAGAGTCAAAACGCAAGGCAACTATTAGTCCACTGTCAAAGCACCAGTATGAGGTAATTCATTTCAAAGCTATTGAGCAGTACTTTCATGTGGTACAGTACTGTTTGTTATGATGAAACCCTAGTGCGTGACCATTCAAATAGAAGCAATTAAGTAATGGATTCATGTGGTATTGCTTGTTGTGCTGTACAAGGTGGTTCTAACTTTTAAGTCTGTTGATGAAACCCGGCTAGTGTATGACCATTCAATGAAAGCTATTGATTCATGTTGTACTGTTTATCTTGCGGTAGACGGTGGTTCTAACTTTACTGCGCCTTTCAATAACATGCGGACTCTAAAATTCAACGCTCAACCGTCAAATGCGTTTTTCGCTACCGTCAATCAAATGTTCGGCGGCTCCTCCCAGCTTCCAACTACTGCCGAGCACTGTTTCGTTGTCTGAACTGTGCTCAACGATTTGATTACCGCGCGCTCGACAGTAGTCGGAAGTTGGGAGGAGCCGCCGAACATTTGATTGACGGTAGCGAAAAACGCATTTGTCGGTTGAGCTTTGAATTTCAGAGTCCACATGTCATTGAAAGGCGCAGTAAAAGTCTGTGGATGAAACACTAGTGCGTGACCATTCAAATGAAAGCTATTGAGCAGTACTTTCTTGTGGTACTGTTTATTATGCTGTACAAGGTGGCTCTAACTTTGAAGTCTCTGGATCAAAAACTAGTGTGTGGCTATCCAAATAAAGTTATTGAACAGTACTACAACTTGGTTCAACATTTGAGGTCCGTGAAGGCAACCCAAGCTTATTTATGAACAGCAGCAGTAATCTAATACAAAAAATTCTTACAACGACAGAGTTCCAATAAATACAGACCCCGGAGTTATAACAACGTTAACGATATGGCATAAAACAAAGTAGGCAGCGTACCTTTGTCACAATTCTTTCCTTGGTAACCTGGTTTACACTGACAATAGTAGCTGTCACCTTGCGGTTTACATACTCCACCATTTTTGCACGGGTTCTTGGGTTCACACACGTCTACAGGAGTTTATAAAATAACAAAGCTCAGACGGTAATTTCTTCAGTTGCAGTTAATAAATCTCTGTTTACGTCCAGAACAAAGAATTGTACAGGCCAACATTTTAGATCGGCATTATCTTGATATTCCACTGTAATAAAAATTTTACGCTTAAGCTTTAAAACTGCATCTAAATAGAAGGAAATTTAAAATTAAGAATTCTTTGAGATATAAACTCACCACAAAGCTAGTATTTAACAAAATAAGGAAGATTGGGCAAAATTTAGATGCATTATCGACAACGAACTTGAAATTTAACTGATAAGGTCATCCCCCTTTTTATCCGTTTAGCATCCTCCGTTTGACCATCCAAAATTTTCGCGTTTTCAAAAAGGTATTAAGTTATGAGGAACGTTGTTATGATGTAGTGAGACATCTCAGTTCAATCTGGAAAACATTCTTTTTGCAACTGCAGATTTTTAAACGGTATTTCTTAATGCTGAATCTGATAGCAACTTCAACCTTATCCACAGAGAACACGACAATTAAAGGTCTCTGCTATAGTTCACGTCTGCGTTGATTTAGTAACCACGTCTTTCAGTGTTAAGTTTTCCTGGCAACGATTCTGATTCCAGACTCCTCCCAGTTATGTTTTTCCATTTTGTTCTCCGAGAAAATGAAATCAGGAAACGTATTCGATGCTAAACGGCAACCAAGGGGAAGGCCTACTCAACAAAATCCAAAAACGCATTGTCTCTGACTCTAACGCAATGGCTGGGATTTTCGGACTCTAAGGAAGTGAATCTCTTTTTACTTTGCTCTTCCGTTTATCAAATGTAGAAAACGTTAAAATTCTCTCTCACTCTCCACAATTTATAACAGTCCATACGCTTCTGTTTTGATTTGTTTTGATTCTTTTTACCACTCCATATTTATTTGTAGACAGTTTCGTGTCGTCCTAGTGTAAGTCATATTTTTAATGAAGGTGTAGGTTCCCTAGGTGAGCCCTTTGAGCTCTTTAGGCAAACTTAATAATAATAATAATAATAATAATAATAATAATAATAATAATAATAATAATAATAATAATAATAATAATAATAATAATAATAATAATAATAATAATAATAATAATAATAATAATTAAACAAGTTAAAAAAACAAAAAAACAAAAACAAAATGCAGTTTCTTACTGTGTCCCTTATCACCGCAGTACCGCAGATAGCATGCTGGTGGCTTCTCCAGCTTGTACACGTAATGACCACCACAGTTTCGCACTTTGATCACGACACTCCATCGGCAGCAGTTGTTGCTCCAGTGGAAGCAAACCTTTCTGTCGACCACTCCGTCCTCCTTCTTGGGATGATCGCCCTGCATCCATCCAGGAGCGTGGGTACCGCAACGCTGAGTGGGGACACAGGAGTTGGGTATCTTGGTGCCGGCATCTCCGACAAATTGATGCCATTTTCCGACTGTTGGTAGATTCCGTTGGTCGCATTTAAGAAAGCTTCTTCTCAAGACCCCCGAGGCACGATTAGCTTCACTGAGTTTGGTGTTCACAATGCATTCAGTAGGAGCTGCGTT